GCAGGATGATGACCACGCGCTCGACCACGAAAAAATTATGTGGTCCAGATGGGTAAGTAACCTTTGCCAAAAGCCCGTTTGGTTATCCCAATGCGTGCTAAGTCTCCCGTCGTCAACACGTCACCTTTCTTGGGGACTTCCACAGTTGTGGACGCACCAAACAGACGCTCAAAGATGGTCACTTCGTAGTCGGGAGTCACTTCTAATGTGGCACCTCCAATGCTCTGATGATATTGTTGTATGCTAGGACCAGGTGCGGCAGGACGTCAATGTACTTAAGAGTGTGCTAATGGGTAAAACATTTCCACATGAGTTCTTTGAAGGTTCAGAAATTCAATGCCTTTGTCGGTTTGCCATTGAAGAGGGTTACGACTGCTTTGTTTCAACACCAGTTGTATGGCTCGCACTAACTCAGTGCTCAATTTGGAAGTTAATGGCACGACCAAAGCAAATTTGGAAAAGACAGTGATGACACAAAACAAATATTTGTAGCCATGATTGTGGTTGGAAAAATGAGAGACATCGGCTAAATCAGCTTACCATTTATTATCAATGCCCTCCACTCAGATGAGACTTCTGGAAAATTTTCGTCTGGTTATCACATTCTCCATTAGGACTTTTTTCTACTAACTCACCCACTCTTTACTGATGTTACATTGGAGCTTAGGTGGTTGCTTGGAAACTGCTTTAACTGTCCGATGTACTACAGGTGATGTAATGGTTAGTGGTGGCCGTAATGGGATTCCTTTTGCATTGTTTTTGTTTTTCATTTCTGGATTCCCACTTTTCTATTTATCTTCTGTTAAAATAGGAGCGGACATCATCTTTTTAACCAAAGCCTTGAGTTCTTCTTGTTGTGGTGTAGGGGTAAGGGTCAACAAGGACACCTGCAGTCTTACTTTGGTTGGGAGCAGATGAGGAAGTTTGAAAGACTTCTTGTTCCCATTCTTCCTCTTGCATCCGTGGTGCTGAGTCTGTCGTGCTCACTGGATGGTGATGGAATTTCATCAGTCTTAAAATCTTTCAGAGTCGGTGGAGCTGTTTCATCTAGTGCTTTCTGGTTAAAGTGTTGAAGTTGTTGAAACACTTGACCGTACCTTTGCAATTTTTCCCTTTCTGATAAATCACTGCGTTCCATTAACGATTTAAATTCGTGTTGTAACTGGAACATTTGGTTCAAATGAAGATTATGAGGCAAATGTAGGCCATTTATTGTTGCCAACGATGGAATTACATCCATCGTTTGTAAGGCACTAAAGTCAGTTCCCGTCCCTACATCGGATTTCAAAGGTTACGTCTGAGATTTTTTGAACCCAGAGACCTCATTTATTTTATTGTTCCTTTCTATCTTTTACTCATGTTTGAAGCAGCTCCCGTCATGACTCCTGTTATCATTGTTCTCAATACTCCTTTCACCATTGGTGCTAACAACAGGTGCACAAATCCTCTGCGTTGTAACTACATATTTTTCTTTTGACGGATGTTTATTTTCTTTTGGGTCATTTGGAGATGAATGTGTGGATGCTTGCCTAAGAATTATGTCTGACAAAGATATCGCTCCTTTCATGATATTCACAAACCATTCGCACAAGGTATCTATGACATTTCTGGAGGCAATTTGAATGTTTTGTTTTCGCATCGGTAGAGGAGCTTTAAACAGAACGTTTAATGTTTGTCTATACGAGGAGGCAGTCCTTTCTTTTTCTTTCCTATGGGGGTTGGCTTCTGAGGGTAACATTGTCGTTTCTTCTGGAGCACACACAAAAATACATTAACGTCAATGATTTGGCACACGTACTTTTCTCTCATTTTTAGAGCAGGTAGAAGGGTGTGTAACTAGTGCTTTTTTGACGAACCCTTGGACTATCGCTTCGTATCATATATCTCCAAACATCCTCCACTTTGGTTGCTCCTCTTTTTCTTTGACGATGATGGGTTTTTTTCAGGGGTGAACGTCAAATGATTGGCTAAGAGTTTATTTTGAAGTATGATCAAACGACGAGACTGTCTTTTTTTTCTTTACATTTTAATTTCTAGACAGAAGAACGACAATCATGGTGGTGAGCACTTCTTTTAAGGGACAGATTTTGGCATTCAGGAGAACAAAAACACTGATACCCATCGTTTACCCTTGGTCATTTTATGGTGGAATGAGACGTCATTGATTGTCTTTTTAAATCTTATCAATATGATGACAGGCATTAAGAGTCGTGGAGGGGATATCAATGGACTAAATCGATACAGTGTTTGCTTGGATAAATCCTGTAAACACTTCAACATGCCCGCTTTATCTCTCTCTCTCTCTCTCTCTCTCTCTCTCTCTCTCTCTCTCTCTCTCTCTCTCTCTCTCTCTCTCTCTCTCTCTCTCTCCTCTTGGACTTTGGACTAATGAACTGATAAGGGGACAAAATGGTACCATATAATAGACTGACTGTCAAATAGAATTGCAAACAAACACTGTCGTCCAAATTGGCTGAAAATAACTTTTAATGGGCAGAATAGCTGCAGCTGCCAGGCCAGACTCCACAATACCTACAGATATTCAAGCAAGTTACCTCTGTTCAGGTGTACAGCAACACATATAGTCAAGAACAGAGTTCATTGCTCTTGGCCGCCTAATCTTCAGTTGTAGTGGTGACCGTTTCATTATTGCTGTTCTCTATTACCTCAGCCGTACTCTTCTCTGTCTCTCTGTCTCTCTCTGTGTCTCTGTCTCTCTATTTCTCTGTGTCTCTGTCTATCTCTGTGTCTCTGTGTCTCTCTGTATCTGTCTGTCTGTCTGTCTGTCTCTCTTCTCTCTCTCTCTCTCTCTCTCTCTCTCTCTCTCTCTCTCTCTCTCTCTCTCTCTCTCTCTCTCTCTCTCTCTCTCTCTCTCTCTCTCTCTCTCTCTCTCTCTCTCTCTCTCTCTCTCTCTCTCCGTTACTCCGCAATTACAGAAAGGATGTCCTGAGAGAAACTAGAAATGAACTTTTCTCTTTGGAACAGTTTCATTGGGGCGAGATATCCCTGATATTGTGTAGGATGTTCTCTTCCCTGTTCACATGTACCAAAACGATCATAATTCTCTCTTCTAAGTTCATTATTGTTTGACAACGATGGATAACAGGACTGACTTAATCTGAATTTAAATGGCTCATGGTAATTTGCCAATGTGCGATTGCTTGGATACTTTCTTGAATATGAAACAAATATAAAGGATATGTCCAGCAGCACCAACATCATCAAATCAAATGCGAAAGTTATACTATGTTTGCCAAATTCTGTTATAGCTGTTGTATGCACTTGGGATTCATATTGCCCAAAGTTTATATTAACCACATATATTAACTGTAATACTTTGATTTAATTCCATTTTACCGATCTTATTCAATTTAGAATTGAGCATAAAAGATGAACCCGTTATTCAGAAAGGTAAAACTAATAAGGATAATAATATACCGTTATAATAAATTAGTGATCTTAATTCTTTTTTAGAGGTCATGACGAAAATACATTATTTCATTTTAGACGATGGGTCGTAAGAGTTAAATTTGTATTAGGTTTGATCTATAATCAAATGAAGGTTTTGAGAGGCAGTTTGAAAAATTGCGTCAGTCAGCCTTTATGAGCATCTGTTTAGTGCTGATTACTTCTCGCGGTGTGATTGCAAGGGACATCATCTTTATCTACATCCACAATGATTTCATATCTAGCCTAATTGTAGCCGTTGTGCTCTCTTCAAAGCACTATCACGTGGCAGAAATCCCGAGGTCAACTTATATTGCCATTAAATCGCTTATTTATACTTCCTGGTATTTAACAATACTGATTAGAGTGAATTGTTACCCGTTGACTGCACTGGATAACTGATTTTACAAACTTGACTCAGTGGAGGGCAGTCTCCTCCTGTCCCATTGACTATACCTCAGTTAGATATGTTATCCTTCCCTCTATGTTATTTTTGTGATGGTCATGGAGAGACAGATTTTCGGAAGATTTTTCTATGCTTGAAGTGCTAACAAACCTTAAACCATATCCACATCTGTGTGAGCAGACGAATTGTAAAACACGAGAGCATGGTGGAAAAATACATAGAGAGAAAGATAGAAACAGTAAGAAATGGGTAAGAAATAACAATCCACAAGACACTTTTCTTTCAAAACCGCGTTGTCTGGTTAAATAAATAAGATATTCATAATAATTACGAAAACACAACTGAAATTTACAACGTTTCTAAGGAAATGGTGTCCAAAAGAAATCAGTGAATAACAACACATATCTGAAGCAACAAGTGATATTTCAAGTCGCGTCGCAAACTATTTTATTTCTTCCACTAGAAACTATCTTCTTGAAGAACAAATTATTTCGCAATGAAATACGGGGAAAATGAGCAGAAAAGTCTGTTTTATAAATAAGTTTGAATAACAAAATTCATAGACCAATTAAATATTTCTGTAAGTGTTCAGCGTTTTGTTACAGCTAAGGTCAACTAGGTTAGAGATTTCATATCATAAAATATTACCATCGGGAAAAAAACTCAAAAAGTAAAATAGTGATACTTTTAATGCGTTATATATAATCTATAAGTAATATAAATATCAAAGCCAAGCGAAGAAACACTCGACGAAAGTTGGATGATATTGAGCAGTACCGTCTACCTCCAGAACGAACAGTGCAGAATCAGCGTTTTTGACTAGCCTGATTGTTTTAGACTCTCAGTGAGACTTGGTTAAAGGCAAACACAAAACAAAGACAAGACTATCAATAAATATGAAAGTTTTTCTATTACAAATGTTTCCAGTTGTTTTTCTGATGCAATTAAAGCATGTAAAGATTGAACTCTAACTTAGCTGATGTTGTAAACAATAGTAATATTCATGCAGATTATGAAGGCGTTCAGAACATTCTATTTCAGTAATGACTGTCATTTGATTAGATATACCTTTTTCTGGCAATTATTAACTTTTTTGGATCCTCATACATCCATATTCCCTTGAAAGGACATTATTTACCTGCACTGAAACACCCGTTCCGGTGGCCTAGTGGTTAGAGCTTCCGCTTCTGATGCGAGAGGACGTGGTTTCGAACCCTGGTTGTGTCAAACCTAAGGCATATAAAATGGCACTAGTAGATGCCTCGCTAGGCGGCCTGATGTCAAGATAATGTGACTGGGTGGAAAATGATGATGCATGTCTGATGCGTGATATCCCAAATTCTAGACATCACTATAAACTGCCACACTTCAGACGTCGTAGCGATGTGACTGAAAAAAACTGTTAAAGCTACGTTAAAAATCCAAATCTCTCTCTCTCTCTCTCTCTCTCTCTCTCTCTCTCTCTCTCTCTCTCTCTCTCTCTCTCTCTCTCTCTCTCTCTCTCTCTCTCTCTCTCTCTCTCTCTCTCTCTCTGCCGTGGGAAGTACATCTGGCAAAAGGAGTGTTCACCTACGTATAAATATTTGGACTAGGTGAATTTACCAGTGTGATCTAATTCAAACTGTACTGATTGGAATATAGAGCATCTATTGAAAACAAATTCGTATTACCCTGTCATCTGTAATGATAGGTGCAACGACATTACTTGGACCAGTTTAATACCTCTTTTCCATTCTATTTAATTTCATCTTAAAGTTTTTGACAATATCTCATGTGCAGAACATGCAATTATGAAGATGGAATGGATGTTGGTAAACTATTCAATATTAAATTTTAGATAAAAAATAAAATTGAATGAAATTAAATGCCAGTAAACACACACACGAATATATATATATATATATATATATATATATATATATATATATATATATATATATATATATATATATATATATATATATATATATATATATATTGCTGATAATAATCTACAGAGGACGAGCCATATCCCTATCTATTTCCTAAAACACAGTTGTGTAATCATAAATGATTTCCCGATCATTTTATTATTTCTGTAATGTGAGTATTAAGTTTTCTGTCGATCTCTGCTGAACACATTAAATTTGACATGTGAACAATTAATTAGACATATGGATCTCTGCGCGCGTCATATTGCCATAATGCACGGATTGTTACAGCCTCTGTCACCAGTTTAGCGATTTTTGATTAAGGCTAAATTTGTTAAATCTGACCAAGAAAGGGGTACGTTTCTGATCTGGATGAAAAACTGTTATTTCTGAAAGGTACAAAGAATCAGATGGGTTATCAATGTTTTTCAGACGAACTGTATTGCTGAATGAGCGTGGAATGTATTTCATTCAGATTAGTTGCTGTAAATTTCTAAAGTTCTACTGATATTTACTCGTTCCGTTAAAATTACACCATCGGCGGTGACCTCTAGATAACGATAACCAAATTCCATAACACCCACCCCAAACAAACTGTGAGGGGAGTTCTGACAGGCGACACCAGGAAAAACTACAAAAGAAACCATTAATAATTATAAGTATGTCAGTAATTGCAAAATGAATGAATTGTTTAATTTTTTTAAGGTAGTGGCTGTAAGAAGATGGTGATTTAATAGGCGTGTGGTTTAGATTTTTCTAGTCTGCTTTGGTTTTAGTGGGGGTTGATGTCAGTGTTGAATGAGACGTTATCCAGTAATGTTCTTTTCATCTTGGTTTTGGAAATCTAGTTGCGGTTATGAGCAATTTCAGTCAGCGTTACGTCACTGAAAGCGTGAGCAGGAGTATAAAAGTGTTCTGTTTGGCAGGAAACATCCTGCTTATGCAATGAAACTTTCATTGTTATGACACAATTATCAGGGTGTTCTCGAATATGAAATTAATACTTTGATTTTATAGATTTATAGCAAACTTTGAAGCTACAAATACATAGAGACTTTTTATTTCAATGACAGAAGGAGGAAATCGTCTCGTGATTAATATAGAAAAAAAAACACGACGTGATCGATATTCTCAACATGCAAATAAAATTTACTCAGAAATAGATTCAATTATTAACTTTCATTTGGCAAACATACAGCATACTTAAATTGGATAAGTGGCCTTCTTGTGCATGTTCAGTACTTTAACTTCACAAATCAATAGTCAGGTGATCTTTGTACCTGTATTTTACTTCCTTTTAGCATTGAAATGTTATTAATCATTTTAGACATTTACAAATACATTGAAATAAAACAAATGAAATTGGATCACATGTGTGTTTCCTCAGTCCAAAGAATATATTGTTCCTGATCCATGCTAGGTATCACACGTAACATGGCCTGTAACAAACACACAAACGCACACGCTTTTCTCTATAATATATTGAAAGAAAACGTTTCAATTTTGAAAAATTGCGTCTTCGCTGCTTTAATCAAATTGACGTCAGGAACAAATTCAGAGAACGTGAATTGCTTGTTACCAAGTCTGTCGCACAAGCTTTCTTAGTTGTGGTTACATTCTCTCTGTTTGTCTCTTTTTACGTTTTCATTTTCCCCTTAAACTTCAATATAATTTGTTATGAAATCTTTCATATTTGGTCACGAAGAATTTGATACCAAATGGGTCGTATTTTTTTGCGTGGACAAATGGAGTAGTGCTACTTGCTGATTAAACTCTAAGTTGAACAGCGAGGAAAATATGCAGCCATTTCAGTGGATCCAGACGTTTGGGGAATCGTGCCGGCTACCCTAAGGAGGCTCGTATATTGGTCCATTTGTAACCGCAATGTCAAACACGTCGATGAAATTTTGCACATTCTGAATGTTGTAGCTGATCTTTAAGACTGATTATTCATCATGTCTACAAAATTCGATCCCTAAGGGATCTAAGCCTTTCGTTTCAAACGATAATTCTAAATTACTTTTCTTACGAAAAATTGGTCTTACCAAAGCAAGGTATATTCTTAAATTTTTATACGGCATCGTTTTTCATTTTTAACTTTACATGTTGCAGACCTAAAAAATTGAGAATCAAAAAGCTAACTAAATGTCAAATATTGGAATATATCCATTAATGGTATTATTTTCCATTTTCAGTCAACACTCCTTTTAGTGCATGCAAACTTATTTATAAGGAAGAATACAGCTGGTTAATCATGTATATTATGGTAAAGTTCATTAGCTAATCTGATTATCGCTCTGTAATATGGTTTTCGATACAGTTTCTGGTAGGGGTGTCATCGAGTGTACAAACAGGCTTTCAAATTGCTTTATAGTCTTATCAATTCTGAGTTATATAACTGGATCATCAAACGTTTTGCAATTAAATTTCGCAAGCAAAACTGCCTAGATAGAAAAGGTATAATTAGGGTATTAATAAGCACAAAAATAGAGTGCGTCTATTATATTTCTTTGTTTTAGAAAGCATATCAATGCTGCTTTCGAGTTCTTCAGTAGCGTAGTCTTAAGCAGAATAGACTGGGTACATTGCCGAAACCTTTATCAATGAGATATCGCTGTATAAATAGATTCTAAAAGACAGTGTGTTTGTGTGTGTGTTTGTGTGTGCGTGCGTGCGTGCGTGTGTGACTTGGATTTTTAACGTACCTTTAACAATTTTGCAGTCATATCGCTACGACGTCTGCAGTGTGGCAATTTATAGTGATGTCAAGCAGTGGGGCATCATGCCTCAGATATGTTACATGATATCCCACCCAGTCACATTATCCAGACACCACTTGACCAGTCCACTAACCTCTTAATTCTGAGCGCCTATCGAGGCAAGTGTTGGTGTCATCTACAAGACGGAATTTAATTGTATGTTTTACAACCCGTGTAGTTTTAATATACATTATGAAACTAACCTTATATTATATCATTGTCCGATTATAATACATTGTCTGTAAAGATGGGTGGGTTTTTTTGTAATTACTTGTGTTTAGATCTGTAAAGACGTGTTTGGTTTGAAAAAGTTTTCATTGTTTGACTACCAGTTGGCGTGTTTTCGGCAAACGACATAAATTAAATCAATTATCAACAGATGTGACAAGTTTAATAGACGTGCTCTTCTATACGGGTTGAGAAGAACTATACACCAATATCATAACATAGATAAAGTGTACAGTACTTGTGTTATTAAATTATAGCATTGTGGAGCGCCGGCTGGCCGAGTGTTTTACGCCTCTGACCTTGAAAGATCGCTCTCATCTTACCTATGTCCGAGTTGGTGCGAATCTCGGCTCGGTCTGCGTGTGTGTGTGTGTGTGTGTGTGTGTGTGTGTGTGTGAGAGAGAGAGAGAGAGAGAGAGAGAGAGAGAGAGAGAGAGAGAGAGAGAGAGAGAGTTCCCCAGTAGGTTCCCTAGGGTGTGATAGGTTTATTCGTTTTTCAGAGTTGTTTCTCCACCAAATATCCCAACCTCCACATATAGTCTATCATGTCATGAGTAAAATGGCGTTAAACCCACATAAACAATCAAAATGGGATGAGAATTACAATACAGTTCTGCCAAAAATTAGCAGAAGTTAAAAATTCATAACAACTTTGCCTAATGTTCAGCGTATCAGGCAGATACATCAGGCATATTTGTATAGCTATACTGTATACCTTGCTTAATTTATGTAATACAATGTTCTACAATTATTTTACTGTATTTTTATATCTTGCAATTTTTATACATTGCTATCTTAAATTTGAAGTACTTCATAATGTTAGTTTGAATGTTGAAGACGTATCTTTGTACATTCAAACAGTACAACACGTATCATGTGGAATATTGGATACCTCTAAGTTAGATATGTTGCCAGATATATTTTACGCACGACCAATACTTATAGTGAGTTGGAGTCACTCGTTTATGTAATAAATTACACCAGTTTTTAGTTATAGACATTTTATATACATTGGTCGAGAATTGAAGGACAATGTATAATTGTAATAAATGAAACGCATGTTGACAGAAATTTATAAATAATATAGTACCTAGTTAAACATGATAGTTTATTCATAGCTGGCTTGTTAGATTGATTATCTGTGTATTAGGATGTCGCCTGTGTAGATCCGGACAAACTCGCATGAACTAGACAAGCAATTAAGATGCATAATTAGTTAAACAAATTATCCTTTCTCCTAGGTGGAGTTAGAGAAAACGTCATGTGTGGGCCCCTGTGTGTGTGTGTGTGTGTGTGTGTGTGTGTGTGTGTGTGTGTGTGTGTGTGTGTG